TCTCACCAGTGGCTATCGATGATAAAAATATCTTAGCAAGGAGCCCAGCAATCACTTCCCTGGCTTCCCACAGAGTTCTAGGGTACGCCTGATCAGGTCGTGGGGATTTATCCACCTTTATGCATTTTAAGATGTCCAGCACCATCTCCTCTGTAATATGGACATTTTTCAAGATGTCGCTATTTATTTCCCCACATTCTCTATCTTCCATATCCTTCTCCACAGTAAACACTGATGCAAAATATTCATTTAGTATTGCCCCCATTTCCTGTGGTTCCACACATAGGCGGCCTTGCTGATCTTTAAGGGGACTTATTCTCTCCCTAGTTATCCTTTTGTCTCTAATGTATTTGTTGAAACCCTTTGGATTCTCCTTAACACTATTTGCCAAGAGGGTTGTGAGGCTGGAGGAATAGGGAGAGATAAGGTCATGGAGGAACTTGAACACAAGGTGTGAATGTTAAAATCGAGGCATAGCCTTACCAGGAGCTGGTGTAGGTCAGCAAGCACAACATGATGGCTGAATGGGAATTGGTATGTGTAAGGATAAAGGTAGCAGAGTTTGAAAAACCTCAAGTGTACAGAAGGTAGAATGTGGAAGGCCAACTATGAGTGCATTTGCATAATCAAGCATAGAGGTAATGAAGATATGGTTGAGAGCTTCAGTAGCAGTCAGGCAGAAACAGAGACAGAGTTGGACAATGTTACACAGGTGACAATAGGTGTCTTGCTGATGGCACAGAAATGTGCTTGGAAGCTCATACCAGGGTCAGCTAAGGTTGCAAACAGTCTGGTTCAGCTTCAAGTTGTTGCCAAGGCAAAAGATGGAGTCACAAGCTCTGGAATCGAGTTTATTGTAGGTGACTGAATAACGTGGCAACAGCAGAGGAGTTGAGAGTGGTTGTGATGAGATAGAGCAGGTTGTCATCAGGGCATATGTGAAAACAAATGCTATGTTTTCAGAAGATATTGTTGAAGAAGAACACATGGGAAATAAGAGGGGACCAAGCTTAGATCCTTGATCCAATGGTCATGAAGAAGTATTGGGAAAAAAACATTGTTACATATGATATGTTGGCAAGAATTAAACAGATGACAATTGAACCAGGCAAGTGTTGCCTCTCGAATGACAACAGGGAGGCCCTGATACAGAGTGATGTGGAGAAGGAGTGGGGAAGAGTTTAATTTTGTTACATTATCACCAAAGGTCATTTGATTTTAGAAGTTCTATTAAATAATGGATATAAAAGGAGAATCCTGTATTTAACTTTAAGCCTTATCTTGCCCAAAATACAGAATGTAGAACCTAAGTAAACTGTTGTTCCACAGTGAAGCCTGATAGTCAGATTTTGCAACTGTAGTGTCATAGGCTATCACATTGATGGAGAAGCTTCTATTTTAAATGACTGGCAAGTGTTACTAAATGTAGAAATAATTATCAATGGAACATTCACTGAACTTGTTGAAAATATTTTAAATCAACAATGATAGACAAATTTTCATAATACACAGCCATAGTGTGAAAGAGAAGGATGTTCTCCTATGTTTCATAGTTTGTATGCAGTATACTTTTAAGAGACAAGTTTAGCATGTGACCTTGGAGTATAAGGATCTCAGCCTCCACCTTAAACTGGACAATTTGAAGCATGACACATTAATGAGAGTATGTAATTCTTTGTAATGGAATAGCTTAATATTAGTACAGACACTGAAGTGGCCCTTACTGTAATATTTATATTTATCAGGAGTTGTCCCACATTTCTACTGAATCTTTCATTACCACTTTGACTAAATATAGTAGTTATGCTACAAGAACTAACTTAATTAACTTAAGTTACAAATAAAAACCAAAAGAACTGTGTGGATGCTGTAAATCAAGAACAAAAACAAAGTTGCTGGAAAAGCTCAGCAGATCTGCAGCATCTGTGAAGGAGAAAACAGAGATAAACGTTTCGGGTCCGGTGACCCTTCCTCAAAACTGATGGTGGCTGGGAAAATGTCAGTTTGTATGCAGAGAATAGGGAGGTGGGTGGGGTATAGAGTAAATGATAGGATAGAACCCAAAGAGAGAGAGAGACAGTTGGACAGACAAAGGAGTTGCTAACGATCAGGCTGGGAGGGTGAATAGTTGTTAATGGGGACTGTTAGTGACTAACAACAGGGGGTGTGTAGTGGCAAGCTACGTGGTAACAAGGTCTGGTGTGTGGGGTGAGGGGCTGGGACATGGGAGAGTCTAGGCCCTAAAATTATTGAACTCAATATTGAGTCCAGAAGGCTGTAGGGTCCCCAAGCGGAAAATGAGGTGTTGTTCCTCCAGCTTGCGTTGGGCTTCACTGGAACACCGTAGCAAGCCAGAGACAGAGATGTTGGCCAGGGAGCAAGGTGGTGCATTGAAGTGGCAGGCAACAGGTAGTTCAGGGTTTTTTTTGCGAGCAGAACGTAGATGTTCTGCAAAGCGGTCGCCAAGTCTACACTTTGTTTCCCCAATGTAGAGGAGACCACATTGTGAGCAGCAAATGCAGTAGACTAAATTCTTGGAAGTGCAGGTGAAGTGTTGCTTCACCTGAAAGGTATGTTTGGGCCCTTGGATTCTGGGGAGGGAGGAGGTAAATGGGCAGGTGTTTCACCTTCGCCGGTTACAGGGGAAGGTGCCGTAGGGATGTGGGTAGGTGTTGGGGGTGATGGAAGTGTGGACCAGGGTGTCCTGGAGGGAACGGTCCCTGTGGAAGGCAGACAAGGGAGGGGAGGGAATATGTGTCTGGTGGTGGCATCTTGCTGGAGGTGGCGGAGATGGCGTCTGATGATCTTCTGGATGTGGATGCTGGTGGGATGGTTGATGCGGATAAGGGGAACCCTATCGCTGTTGTGGGAGGGAAGAGAAGGGGTGAGAGCGGAAGTGCGGGAGATGGGTCGTACCTGGTTGAGGGCCCTGTCAACAACAGAGCTGGAGAGTCCTTGGTTGAGGAAGAAGGTGGACATTTCGGAGGCTCCCTTGTCGAAGTTGGCCTCATCTGAACGTATGCCACGGAGACGGAGGAACTGAGAGAATGGGATGGAGTCTTTACCGGAAGTGGGGTTCCAGTGAACACTTTACAGCCCAACACAAGCTGGAGGAACAAAACCTCATTTTCCGCATGGGGACCCTACAGCCGTCTGGACTCAATATTGAGTTCAATAATTTTAGGGCCTAAACTTTCCCATGTCCCAGCCCCCCACCCCACACACCAGGCCTTGTTACCACATAGCCTGCCACTACACACCCTCTGTTGTTAGTCACTAGTAGTCCCCATTCACAACTATTCACCCTCCCAGCCAGACCGTTAGCAACTCCTTTGTCTGTCCAACTGTCTTTCTCTCTCTTTGGGCTCTATCCTATCGTTTACTCCCTACCCCACCCACCTCCCTATTTTCTGCACATAAACTGATGTTTTCCCAGCCACCATCAGTTCTGAGGAAGGGTCACCGGACCCGAAACGTTAACTCTGTTTTCTCCTTCACAGATGCTGCCTGACCTGCTGAGCTTTTCCAGCAACTTTGTTTTTGTTCTTAAGTTACAAATACCCTGATGTAGGCAAAGCTCACATTAAGGTGACAGTTCAAGGGAAACCTGTAAAAGCGCAGGAGTTAGTGGAGTTGAATGATTCTGAAACAAAACTATCAGCGCACCAGCAAAGTGACATGAGATTGCTTTATGGAACTAAATACCATAAAATTTAAAAAACACAGCTCCTCAACTATAGCAGAACATACAACATAGAACATTACAGCACAGTACAGGCCCTCCGGCCCTCGATGTTGTGCCAACCTGTGAAACCAATCTGAAGCCCATCTAACCTATACTATTCCATTATCATCCATATGTTTATCCAATGACCATTTAAATGCCCTTAAAGTTGGCGAGTCTACTACTTTTGCAGGCAGGGCATTCCACACCCTTACTACTCTCTGAGTAAAGAACCTACCTCTGACATCTGTCCTATATCTATCACCCCTCAATTTAAAGCTATGTCCCCTTGTGCTAGCCATCACCATCTGAGGAAAAAGGCTCCCACTGTCCACCCTATCTAATCCTCTGATCATCTTGTATGTCTCTATTAAGTCACCTCTTAACCTTCTTCTCTCTAACAAAAACAGGCTCAAGTCCCTCAGCCTTTCCTCATAAGACCTTCCCTCCATACCAGGCAACATCCTGGTAAATCTCCTCTGCCCCTTTCCAATGCTTCCACATCCTTCCTATAATGCGGTGACCAGAACTGTACGCAATACTCCCAAGTGTGGCCGCACCAGAGTTTTGTACAGCTGCAACATGACCTCATGGCTCCGAAACTCAATCCCTCTACCAATAAAACCTAACACACCGTACGCCTTCTTAACAACGCTATCAACCTGGGTGGCAACTTTCAGTGATCTATGCACATGGACACTGAGATCTCTCTGCTCATCCACACCACCAAGAATCTTACCATTAGCCCAGTACTCTGTATTCCTGTTACTCCTTCCAAAGTGAATCACCTCACACTTTTCCACATTAAACTCCATTTGCCACCTCTCAGCCCAGCTCTGCAGCTTATCTATGTCCCTCTGTAACCTGCAACATCCTTCTGCACTATCCACAACTCCACCGACTTTGGTGTCATCCGCAAATTTACTAACCCATCCTTCTATGCCCTCATCCAGGTCATTTATAAAAATGACAAACAGCAGTGGCCCCAAAACAGATCCTTGAGGTACACCACTAGTAACTGAACTCCAGGATGAACATTTCCCATCAACCACCACCCTCTGTCTTCTTACAGCTAGCCAATTTCTGATACTATTTAATTAAAGTGAGAACTCTCAATTTTGCAATCAGTTTTTGAACCACAGTTGTAATCAAGGACTGACAGTGAAGTTCACAACAGGGAAACACAGCTGTATGTAGTCTAATAATAACCTCTTGTATATGGTGCTTATTTTTTGTTTTGTGTTGAACTTATCTGTTTCTTGAAAATATCACCAAGTTCCACAGGTGGATCCCAGAGAGTTACTAACTCCTCCAACGAATTATCGGGAATACATATCTTTCATTCACCAATATGATGCAAGGAAGTGTCCAAATGAACCCATCAGAGGCAAGGTAAGACAAGATTAATAGCTGTAAGGTCTATGTGCACAACTGTGCATAAAGTATTATGTAACTAATTACTGAATTCGTATCAAAGGCAATTCATGGGCTGTGAACTTCAAATGTGCTTGAAGGGACTTGTTCAGTGGCTAAGTGGGTTGTCACACAGTCTGGTGTGGAATTAAGCCATAAAGTTCTGAAAGGTCCTGAATTAAATACTCAAGATGGTTATAACCAGCATATCATGGCCAATGTGAGCAAAGGAGCAGAATGTGGAAGTGAAAGCCAAGAATAAGTAAGGAAAGAGTAAGAATTTGGTGGGGAGGCATTCAACCTTTATGTCCTTATTGCTGTAAACTTAAGGACAAATTGAAAATATTAAGAACTTATACTCTGAGAAACATAGAATTCCACAGTTTGACCTATGGCTATGCTATTGACTGCTCTATTAGACTCCATCAAAACATCACTTCCTTATTCATAGATTTGGTTTCTTTCTCTAAAACTGAATACATAATAACATTCTTGTTAGACAATGGGTTTGTACTTAGTATATTGAATAGTATGAATATTCTTGATCCTATTTTTCAAGAGTATTAGAACTGTTACTGACACTGTACTCATGTTTTAAACCTTTTCAACTGAACTAAAAGCAATTAATGTATTCTAGTGAGGTAGCTAAGTGTAAGAGCAACAAGATCATGATAAGTTTATATAATTTTATACAAGGCTATCATTACAGCACGTTCAGTTTTAGGATTGCCATTTGGAAGTAGTCAGTGCCATTACAGACAGTCACTGTAGATTACCAGGATATTGCTAGGCTTAAGAAACGATTCTTAGGACAAGAGAACATAGAAAATAAGAACAGAAGAATGCCATTTTTGATCATGGCTTCTCTGATTGTGGTTTTGACTGCACTTTCCAGCCTAGTCCCATATTCCTTGACGCCCTTGTCAATCAAAAAGCTGTATCACTCAGTCCTAATGTAACTAATAACCACTGTTCACTGGGGAAGAGAATTCCAGCTATAAATGACCTCTGAGATTAGAAATTCTTCCTCATCTCTGTCTTAAATGGGAGACTTGTTATTTTTAAACTGTGACCCATAGTTCTATATTTGCTCAAAAGAGGAAATAATGGGCAGAATTTTCTGCTGTCTCTTGTAGTGAGTTTGGCGACAGTAGAATAGAATAGATTAGAATAGCAGTTTAATGTCATGTGTATTTTTACAAAAAAATTAGCAGTTTTATAAGTTGTCATACCATGGTGACTGTATTAATGACAGAGGTCTTAGATAAGAAGAAAAAAGTAAAAATTGAAACAGAATTCATCTAAGATCAATTTCAGTTCGGGAAAAGTCGATTAAGATGATGAACGCTGGAATACCCAGAAGCCGCTGCTGAAGAAAGCACAACTAATTAGGCAGGATGATGGCATACCGGAGTCCTGCCTTTTTCCTGCCTTCTCCAGAAATATGAATGAATGGCCCATGGCCAACCTCCTACCCTGCTGCCAGTCATAGCTGATAAATCAATTAATGACCACCTAAGGACGGTCTCAGCCTGCCACCACAACCATACAGTGTGCACAAAAGATGAACTATGTTGTTAGCTTTTAATATTCCAGCATATGTGGGGTCCCTTGATCAAAGGCACTCATTGCCTCATTGAAAGACTTAACTTTGATAAGGTGAAAGAGATCCACTGAGAACTGTATTCACAGACTCCACCCCCAAAACTCCTCCCAACATTACTTCCGGTCTGGGTCATTCTTTGATCCTCGAACTCCGAAATCTGTCATACCAGCAGCAGTCACTGCCCCCCCTTTGGGACTGTTGAGTGTGAGAACTGATTAGTGGGTGAGATTTCTGCCCCTGAGGTCTTGATTCCAAAGAAAGGCATGCTGCTAGCCTAATTAGCTTGTAATCAGTGGGCTTTCCAAAAAAGAGGCCATACATGTCTCTCACTGACTCTCAATCTGCCAGGGGAGAGGACCATTGCCTTAACAAGAATCTGTCCATTCTCTCAGATAGTACAGTGTCGAGTTTCAATAACATCATCTCTCACCTCAACGAGAGTGGATCCAATATTCTCCATTTTTCCTAAAAGAAAATTTCTTCCCTACAGGAATCAGCTTGGTGAACCTTTGCCAAAATGCTTCTAATACTAGTATGTCCCTTCTTAAATAAGGTGACCAAAACAATACCCAGTGTTCTATGTGTGGTTTCACCAATGCCTGTGCAGCATAGACTGATCTTCCAATTTTTATACTTCATCCCCTTTGCAACAAAGGCAAACATTCTACATGCTTTCCCTCTATACTTGAATGCTGACCTCTTGTGATTCATGTACAAATACACCCAGATCCCTCTGTACTACAGTATTCTGCAGTCTCAGTCCAAGTATTTTGCTTTTTCTATTCTTCCTATCTAAGTGAACAACCTCATATTTTCTCGTATTATGCTTCATTCATTTTTTGTCCACTTATTTAACCCATCAATATTCTTTTGCAAACTTTTATTATTCTCCTCACAACTTGCTTTCCTACCTATTTTTGTATTATCTGCAAATATTGTTCAATAAAATTGGCCCCTTCTTCTGGCAAATTATAAATAGTTGAGGGCACAGCACTGATCCTGCGGCATTCCACTAATTACAGTTTACCATTTTGTAAATGGTTCATCTATTTTGATTATCTGCTTCTTGCTAGTCAGCTAATCCTCTAATTATGTTAATATAGCATTTCCAACACCATGAGCTCTTATCTTGTGCAGTAACATTTTATGTGGTATCTCTTATCAAACACTTTTTACAAAGCAAAATACATTATGTATACTAGTTCCCCATTTTCCCACCTACTTGTTACATCCAATTTTACTTCCCTGACCTGCAAAGAGTGGGTTCATCAGAAGATCATGGGGAACTTTCAGTCCAGGATTCTCCCACATGTAGTGGGCTGCCAATCCTGAGAGGGATTTTGGTGGCTGGGGAGTGGTGGCAGCAGTGAGTGAGGTTGGAAGGCTAATGGTTCCAGGGGGCCATAAGCCTCAGGGAGGATGGTTGGTCTTGGCAGGGGCAGAAGGGCTGGAGGTTGGTGGGATGTCTTGGAGAAGGAGGAAACAGAGAGTTGCTGCTGGAGGTGGGAGGCCTCGTGACAAGGGAGATTACAGTCTGGTAGCGGGATGAGAGGCTTTTGAGGAAAGGAAGTTATAGATGAGAGGGGCTGCCTTTCACAGAGGCTGCAGGCAGGCGCCTGGAACTAAAAGGCAAAAATATTTAGTTCCTGAGTCCACCATTTTCATCTCAATAAAGCTGATGGCTTTCTTAAGATGGGAAGAGCCAACTGACCAGAGTTAAACTTGAATGGATGTGAGGCTGACAGGCTCCTTTGCAAATTTAGAGTTCTAACCCACATCCTCGGAGTACGTTTGGGTCAGGAAGCAGTTTTTTTTTTCAGATTTGGCACCTTTCTCATTAAACAACTCATTGGAGGAGGAGGCTCCATAAGCATCCCATCCTGAGCGCTGGGGGAGCCCAGCACATCAGTTCAAAAATTAAAGCTGAAGCATTCACAAAAAAAAACTACAGCCAGAAGTGCTGAGTGGATGATCTATTTTGGCCTCCTTCAGAGGTTCTCAGCATGACAGATGCAAGTCTTCAGCCAATTCACTGCAAAGGCAGTAGGCCCTGACAACATTCCTGCGATAGTATGAAAATGTGCTCCAGAACTTGCTGCACCCCTAGCCGAGCTGTTTCAATACAGCTACAACACTGGCATTTATCCAACCATGTAGTAAATTGTCCAGGCATGATTTGTACATAATAAACAGGACAAATCCAACCCAGTCAACTACTGCCCCATCAGTCTACTCATCATCATCAGTGAAGTGACAGAAGGTGTTTTCAAAAGTACTATCAAGAAGCACTTGCTTAGCAATACCCTACTCACTAATGCTCAGTTTGGGTTCCACCAGGGCCACTTAGAGACTCAAAACAGGCTTTGACCAAACATGGACAAAAAAGCTAAATTCAAGAGATGAGGTGAGAGTGACGGCCCTTGACACCAAGGCCACATTTGATGGACTGTGACATGAAGGATCCCTTGCAAAAGCGGAGTTAGTAGGAATCAGAAGGAAAATTCTCTGCTGACACAAAGAAAATGGCTGTGGTAATTGGAGGAGGTCAGTCATCTCAGCTCTAGTACATATTTGTAGGAGTTCCTCAGGGAATTGTCCTTGGCCCAACCATCTTCAGCTGCCTCAACAATGACCTTCACTACATCATTAGGTCAGAAATGGGAATGTTCGCTGATAACTGCTCAATGTTCAGCACCATTCGCAATTCCTCAGATATTGAGCAAGTCTGTGGCCAGATGCAGCAAGATCTGGACAATATCCAGGTTTGGGCTGACAAGTGTCAAATAATATTCCTACTACACAAATGCCAGGTTATCATCTTCTCTCACAAGAGAGAATCTAACTATCGCCCCATGACATTCAACAGCATCACCATCACTGAATCCCTCACTATCCTCCACTGTAGGTGACCATTGACCAGAAACTAAACTGGTCTAGTCATATTAATAAAGTGGCTACAAGAACAGGTCTGATGCTAGGAATCTTGCAGCGAATAACTCACCTCCTGAATCCCCAAAGCTTGTCCACCATCTGCAAGATACACATCAGGAATGTGATGGAATACCCCCCACTTACCTGGATGAGTGCAACTCCAACAACACTCAAGAAGCTCGACACTATCCAGTAATAGCAGCAGGCTTGATTGGCACCACATCCACTCCCTCCACCACTGAAGCTCAGGAGCAACTGTATGTATCATTTACAAGATACAGGACAGGAACTTTCTAAAGTAAACAGCAGCTTCCAAAACCATGACAAAATGTACAAAGACAGGGGCAGCAAATACATGGTAAAACCATCACCTGTAAGTTCCCTCTGAGCCACTCACCATCCTAACTTGGAAGTATATCACTGTTCCTTCAGTGTCCTGGAATTCCCTCTCTAAAAGCAACCTTCTAAAAGGCAACTAGGGGCATGCAATAAATGCTGGCCTAGCCAATGATGACCATGACCCTTGAATGAATTTTTAAAAAGTGATAAAAACAAGTTCAATCATACAATTCTGAAGTCATTTGACTCTTAGGGGAGGGAGAGCAAATCAGAAAACCAGTCTGGTCTAGGCCCGAAACGTCAGCCTTCCTGCTCCTCTGATGCTGCTTGGCCTGCTGTGTTCATCCAGCTGTACACCTTGTTGTCTCATGTACCTCCTAGTTGCAGTCGAAGACTTGCAAGAGCAGCCTCTTCATCCTTCTAATAAATGTATTTGATTGCTGCTTGCATGAAATGCCCTAGAAGAAAAAAAGTTATCAAAATTCAGCTCTAAATCTGTCAGCCCACAATATAATCAATGTGTTACTGTATCTGTTCAAGACATGAAATAATTGAGATCAAGCACAACAGTGTAATATTCTAGTCACATACATTTGAGTAATAAATAGTAAATGGATTCAATTTGTAACAGAATAAGAGTCTTATTCTTTCAGTTGTTTCTGAGCCAAAATCTTAATACTTAACTTTCCATTGTTGTTTAGTTTCATGAATAAATTGCACTGACAGAATATCCATTATCTGCTGCCTGTAGATAACTGAACTACAGCTGATGGCCAGTGGAGTGGAAGAAGCAAGTCAGTGCCAGCACTTGAGCTAATAAATGAACTCAGCCCACAGCTGTATCCAGTACATGCTTATGTTCCGCTTGTTAAAGCTGAATTTGTTTCCTTTTCCAGCGTCATGGAGCCTTTGTGTGCACACAGATAAACTCACAGAGTGGAAAGATAGCTCCCAGAGGAGAAAAGGCATTCCTGGTTACTGAAGGGTCACATTCACTGGAACAGTTAAAAGAAGAAAAGGGAAATATGGGGGAAGACATATTGGCCTCACCCAAGCCCAGCTCAGTGAATTTTCAACAGATGCTGTGTTCTGGAACTTGCTTATCAAAACCAGACCCTGAGGAAGCAGCCAAGGCATATCCCAGAATTCCTAATGAAGGACAAAACAGCTTATGGTCACAGACAAATGAAGTACACGGTGGACTCAGTGAACAACAGCAAGTTGCTCTGGATCTTACATCAGCAATAAAATAGAAATGTAGCCATGTTAGTACAGCTGTTAGCACACCATAATGTCTATCACTTCCAAGGGAGCTTTGTGTCTCAAACTAATCATTAACATGTTACAATCAGCAACAACAACATTAAACAAAAACTGGCAGCAGTCAACACTTTAAAAAGTACATAGCTTTTTAAAAATAGCATAGTTATTCAATAGTTTAATCTTCTTAATCATCATCATTGTACAAAACAGTTTCCTGCACAATATATGTATGACCTGTTTAATTTTGCTTTAACTTTACTGTTGGAGTACCATGTTACTGTGTGGCAATATGAGTTTGCTACTGTGGCTATTTATGCATTGTTGCCAGCTACAGCTTTGCTTATGGCCCTGTGCTCCATAGTGTAGAAACTGCATTTTATCAGCAGTACAAAGCAGTCAAAAATACTGGCTTAAATTTAAATTAAATTTTTTCATTATTCTTGCATACACTGTCAATGCTGCAATATTCTTTCTTGACTAGCAACAGACCAGCCATAGAGGATATCTGTTAACTCTGACTTATGCATTACATCCTTATGTGATAATGTAAAAAGTTACAATCACAAATGTGAAGTCGCATTGGAAGGTTAAGATATTAAAGGCAGGAATTAATTAATTATTTTTAACATTAGATACTCTAATTCCACATGTTGTACATCAGCAGCGTACAGTTAAATAATGCAGAGTTCCTTTTGTGGCTAGAATTGCATACACTTTTTCTTAAACTATCAACTTCGATTTAAACACACCTTTTTGAAATTAGCATATGAGGCTCTCACACATTTCCTTAAATGTTGAGTCCAATGAAGTCATTTGTGATCCAAATATTAAATGTTTTGGGTTGAGTTATGGAGCTCACCAATATCAGTTTGTAAATTTGAAATCAGTTTTTGGAAAATAAAGTAAATATGGAATTAAATGTTTCTATTCACAATTGTGACTGTGTAGCTACTTATTATGACAAAACCAGTGGTTCACTAATGTCCTTCAAGTAAGGAAACTTGTGAACATACCCAATTTGACCTACATGCAACTACAGACACAAAGCAATGTGGTTCTCTCTTATGTGGCCCCTAAAATGATTGAGCAAGCCTCTCAGTTTTCATTTTGCTTCAAAGAATAATAATAAGAATAAAATTGGGTGAACCACACAACGTCAGCATGGACGTTGGATTCAGATACAACTAAGTTTGGGCAAACCTGCAAAGTTTTCCAGAATAAAGCTTGGCACATGTACCAAAGCTATTAGATTTGGAATGCAGCTAACAACATTGTGTGGAAATTCAAGAAGGCGGCCTACCATCACCTTCTCAAAGGTAACAAGGAATGGGTAATAAATGCTGGCCCAGTTGGCGACATCCACATCGATGAAGAATAAATCTTTTCATGTTATATGCCATTTCTGGAATCAAAGAACAGGTTTCTTCTATGCTCGTTGCTTCCTATTGGAGTGATGAGGGAAAAATTCAGCTTCAGTGGGCGCATTAAATGGTGGAATAGTGAATAGCAGTTTGCTTTGCGCCTGATCAGATTTACTTTGTATAAAAAGCAAAACCAGGATAGCAATAGTATGTACGCATATTCCATTCACTCACCAATACTCAGAAAAGCTAGAAAGGCTGAAACAAAAACAGAAATTACTGGAGAAACTCAGCAGATTTGGAGCATCTGTGAAGAGAAAACAGAATTAATGTTTTGAGATCAGTGACCCTTCAGAATTGTTTCAGTTCAGTTCTGAAGAAGGGTCACTGGACTCGAATTATTCACTGTTTTCTCCACAGATGCTGCCAGTCTTGCTGAGTTTCTCCAGCAGTTTCTGTTTTGGTTTAAGATCTCCAGCATCCACCATTCTTTGCTTCATTCTAGATAGGCTGGGTTATTTTCCTTAGAACAGAGAAGGCTGAGGTGGGACCTGATTGAAGTGCACTATGATCAAGTGGCCACGGGCCCAAATGTGGACACTCTGAATTGACCCACAGCTGGAGAAATCAGGCTTGACAGAATTATTAAACAGCAGTGAGCAGCTGTCAGTAACAGAGAACAGAGAAGAACAAGATCACAGAGGTTGCAGAGATTCAAGAGGAACCAGTTACAACCAGGCTGAGGGTTGGAGAATTATTGACCAGATGTTCTAATCTTGACTGCCTGAGTATGTACACTTAACACTTCCTGGTGCAGCAACAGTGAAGGGTGTTAGTACAAACCCATTGGATGATTTAAACCCAGCTCATGATCCCGTTGGCCAAAGGCAACAAAGAATTCTGGAAGGTCCGGGCCAAGGGGGGATAAAAATGCACATACCTGGAAGCCAGCCACTCAGTGAAGATTTGCAGGGAATATTCACAGCAAGACTTGTGGCAGAAGACCCAGGAGAAGATCCACTCTGACCTGCAAGACCCACCTTTGTGAAAGAGAGCCAGCTCTACATGGCAGAGGAAGAAGATTTCAACAGCCAAGCTCAAACACATGAATGATTGCAGGTATTATATTCTTTATCAGACAGATAGAGCTAAATAGAAAGTAACTATTGTGGGAATTTGGGAAATGCTCACATAGTGTTTTTAATAATGAATATTTTTTTCCCAACAATCTAGTTGAATCATGAATCAAATTCTGAATCTTCACCATCAAGAGTGCTTAGTAAAGTGTTTTTAGTACATAAACCCATTGGCATGTCCAAAGCACAGACAACATCAGCTTCCCTGGGTAGCTTTGATTAAAATTGTTTGTTTAACTTCCAAAGTTGAATCCCACTAACCTTGAGCTCTTGGACATCTAGCTTGAACCTGAATTAAGGGAGCAGCTGTCCCAAGTGATGGCTTAGATTCTAGTGGGTGAAAGAATGTGAAGGTCTATGACCAGTGGTTGGGCCATAAACCAAGTGTTGTAACATGAGAAAGACAAACAAGCAGATTTATTTCAGGGATAACAAGGTGTAGAGCTGGATGAACACAGCAGGCCAAGCAGCATCAGAGGAGCAGGAAGGCTGACATTTCGGGCCTAG